CTCTAATGGCAGTAATGAGACCCTGGTATCATACAAACTTTGTATTAATATCATAAATCTGTTTGAACTCTTGAAATGTGTAAAATGCATAGGTCTCTGATAAGATCGTTAATTACCATTATTCTTTTATTGTACCATTCTCTGTAAAATATACTTCTATTTCCTATTGTAATCTTATTGTTATACCAGATGGGCATTTTGAACCTACTGCTAGGGGACTGATATTTAATTTTTCATTAGTTTTTCTACACATTTATATATGTACAGAGGGGCACCTTGTCAATACATGTACAGGGGGGCACCTGTTTAATGCATATACAGAGGGGCAGTTGTACCTTTTCAATAATGTACAAAGCGGCATTTGTTCAATACATGTACAGAGAGGCAGTTTTACGTTTTCAATACATGCACAGACGGGGTATCTGCCACTGTATGTCTTTAAGTGGTCCATATGCATCATTAATTAGGCCTACCATGAAAGTATGTGAAAGATACCCGCTTGGCTTCTGAATTAAATTCACTCGACTTGATCCAGTTCTCTTAAGCGGACGATGAAGTGCTCGATTTATGTCCACCATATTTAAGAATGAGACTTAAGCATGCTAAGGACCGTTCTCAAGTATTGGTCCATTCTCAGCTTAAAATCTAAGAATTGAGAATAACGAACTTTGTAGATAGCCAAAAGTTGAGCATATGCTTAAAGTTAAGCATACACTCAAAGTTAAGCATTGAGAACGGAGTTAAGAAGTTTCGTGCAAGCGGGGCCAGGGGCCGAACTTTTCCAGGTCTCCGCTTACTGTGTATTGGACACCTTTACTTGACAATTTAACATTTCTAAAAAGGAAGAAGTGAAGTCCAATTCCTTCAGAAGTCAATATAGTGTTGTGGTTACGGAAAAGAAATTGTGAAAATTAAACAAGACTTGATGAAGGGGGATGGAGCGAGGAAGAGCTTGAGTTGAATTTTGCATTTGTGTTGTTTTGTCATGATTTGATTTGTCTTGATTTATTTTGTTTTGTCATTATATGATTTGTCTTGTTTTGATTTGATTTATCTTACTTCTCTGTTTTGTTTCTGTTAAAATTGTGTTTCTTTGTTGTTGTTTTCTTCGATGTTACATTTCATTATAGACATACCCGAGGTAAATATATGTAACAAGAGTCTACATAGAGGCATTGTATGCCGTTCATTCCAAAGCACATTATTTAAAACTTATATTTACATTCTATTACATCCACTTTTATTTTTCGAAATTAAGAAAAAATAGTCTTTTTCACGGTAAAAAGCAAAACACCGTCATGAAAACAACATTAATTGAACAGTTTTTTTCGCAGGAAAGACGATGCGTTGTCAACGGTGACGAAATACATAGTTGAGCAATAAACAAAAAGTCCCACTTTGCATATTTTTTGATAATTTAATTTACATTACCAGCATGTTTTACAAGCATTGATTATCTTAAAAATTGACTGTAGATCTAAATTTAAAACAAAAATACCATATAAAATATTTTATTTGCAAAAAGTCAGAATTATTCCGTGTTCGCGGAGAAAGCTGACCGTTAAAAAACGATTGTGCAGCGGCTATGCTCATCAGGCAACGAAGCGGTTCGACTTTCAACGAGATAGAAAGTGCATCCGTGAAATGTGGAGTTTTCTTAGAAACCAGATGACGATTTAAAAGATGCTGTTGGCTGAATTCTTGTGTCGATCGACTGTGTCAACAGGACTAGCTAATCGTTTGAGCATTCGGCATGTATTACCACAGGAGCCTGAAGTTTTGTCAATAATGAATAATAATAGTAATACAAAAAAAACACCTATAGGTATTTTTCTTTTGTATTACTGTTATTATTCATTATTGACAGAACTTCAGCCTCCTGTGGTATTACTATCGATGAGGGGACTGGCCGACGATCCAGGACGATTTCACCTGCTTCGCCACTTGCAACGGACGCTAGTGTAGATTCTAGAGGACAGTGGATTATTCTGTTCTGATAAAAAGGACCTGTTAAAGGATCTTATAGCAGACACGCTTCGGTGGCCCGCCATAAACATGATTTGCCTTGATTCAAAACCACAGTCAAACACTTCCGTGACGTCGCTGTCAGACACAGTTTGACTTTGACTTTAAACATATTTTATTAACCAGAATTTGAAAATAGGATTTGTCACACGTTATTACAACTTATAAAGCCATCTCCTTACAACAATAATTCAAAACAACAGAAGATGATATAAACTGTCAATTACTATTCATAGTAGTTATGAAGCGATTTTTAAAGTAACACCTACACATACAAAAAACAACAACATATTTTAAAGTTAAGTTCATAATCGAAACATGTTAAGATCTTCCACTGGATCTTATAAAAGTTTGCACTTGTTTGAATACATCACAATTTGTATCCAAAGCCAGATTTTCATTTCCAAACAGTAATAATCTCAACGTTAAATGTACATATAAATGATTATATGATCAAAAAGTACAGGACGAGCATTTGTGTAAGGTTGACATTCAAAGAAGAAGTGATAGGCATTTTCGCAATGGTAGCAACAATTTATACAATTGGAGTCTTGGACCAGGTTTGCACAGTAAAGATCATGTTTGAGAGGACTGCATTCGTGTCTTAGTTTGGTATGAAGAATGTTTAGTTTTCTATCACCACGTAGGTAATGAGGGGGTACTGTATATGGTATGTTGGTGACTGATTTGAAAGATGAGAAAGACATGAATCTAATATTATAGTCTAGAGTATTCCAAATTTTTAATGAAGAAGGCAAGAAAGATAAACTAGTAGTAGAGAGTCTTAAATTGGGAATTTTATAGTTATCATTATTTCTAAGAGCATGTCGGTTTTCTGCTACCTTAGTGGGAAGTAAATTTGTTAGGTAGTTTGGGGTTTGATGCCTATCCATTTTGTAGATTAACTGAAGTTTTCGACTTTTTCTTCTATCCGAAAGTAATTCAAGACCAATTTCTGTATATAATGATTCATTTCTAGCATATGACGGTAAACTTGTAATTATTCTAGCTACTTCACGTTGAGCCCTCTCTAACTTTTCAGAATCGACCAGAGTACAACCATCCCAAACATCGCATGTTTTGTAAATTCTTAAGAGAGCATCCCGCTTCAACATATATTTGAGTTTTCGCAAAATATTTATTGTTTTCATTACCGATTTATAGATTTCAACTACATGATCTGACCATTTTGCATCTGAATTGAATGTAACTCCAAGGTGCCTATGCATACGGTTAACATTCAAAATATTTCCATCAAAAATCAGTTCAAGATCTTCATCTATATCGTTGAATTTGATATGAAAATAATTTCCGTCTTATTTTGATTGAAAGTAACTAGCCAAGAGTTAGCCCACCTATTTAAAGCTTCCAGGTCCCGATTCAAAACTGTTTGCATATCTAGACAAGAAGATGAAGAAGTTTTTAAAGACGTATCATCAGCAAAGATATACCCCTATTAACACTTTATATTACGAAACTAGTCTTGAAACTTTATCTAATCGCAGAAAACGGAGGAAACTTCAACTATTGTATAAGATGCATAATAAATTAACTCCTGATTACTTTATCTGGAGAAATTAATCGTTACGCTTTACGTAACAATAATAACTATATGATTCCTCCTTTAAGATTATCTCTTACTAACCTTTCTTTTCTACCTTCTACTCTTCACTATTAGAATAACTTAGAAATTCAGTTCGGTCCCTTCCCTCTATTAATTCCATCAAATCCTGTTTAACATCAAATATTCAGTCAAGTCCACCTATTTACTTTAAAATCGGAAATCGGAAACTTAATATTTTGCATACTAAGCTCCGACACCAGTGCAGTTCCCTTAATTATGACCTTATGTGATTGGGAATGAACTTGAATTCACTCTTGGGTCTTTGCTGAATCCAGGGTATAATGAACTACCTTAGAGAGTATAACAATTTATGTAACTCTATCCCTGGTCTAAAGTCATAGCAATGGTCTAAGGGCAGAAAACGCAAAAGGGGTTTAGTCCTGTTTACCAGTATCCAACTAGTCAATTGGAACTGAGTAATTCAACAGAAGTCAGTTTGTATCGACAACCTTTATTGATGTTGGAACCAGTACCTGGAAATGAAAGCAGTTTATGAAGAAGAGATTGACGACATTTTTACTATAGTCGACATTACTTGGGACTTTCGAGGATGACATGTCTTTAGTCCTTTGGGGACTTGGTATTAATCAGATTAATACCAACTCTTATGTATGTAGCAGTCAGCCACGCTACCATATTGGTGGTTTGGTCGAACCACTTGGCTTTTACAATACTAATGTGTAAATACATATAGTGTGCATGTGTTCGTCTTCCTCCAGTAATTTTTATTTCAGTAATTATTATTTTCAGTAATTTTTATTTCAGTAATTTTTATTTCAGTAATTATTATTTCAGTAATTTTGTATTATTAGAAGCGTTTTTATGTTTTCAAGTTCTTCTGTAAATTTTAGTTCCTGTATGTTGTGTTCTCATCTTCGTTTTCTTCAAAGTAGAAATACAATCCTATATAAGGGCTTATATTCTAAGAGTCTTGTACCATGTGTCTTGTACACATACATTATACTTACATTGTACCAGGTACGGACAATGCCCTTATACAACTTGATACGTCAATGAACACGTGTGGTAATGACTCGAATTCGTCATCTTTTCTACATTTTTTTTAATATAATGTATCGATTCCAAATCTCTGCCGGTGAAATCATGTGTATGTCTTACAATGTATTTTTTTGGTAATTGATTTCCATATATTTTAGCCTGATATTTTGCACGTGAATTTTCTATTTGTAATTGAATCACCGCAACGTATACTGATGAGCTTGAAGCTCAAAGTGAGTATATAACTGTCGTAACTATTTCTATAAATAGATACCAAGACACGTGATAGTACTTGTACGTATACTATACACACGCTCGTCTATTTTACCCTTATAGAATAGTAGATCGAACATGAAGTATGTTGTAAGGTGTGTATTTACTGGGCTGGCGATTTCTGTGCTTGCACTCGTGATGGCGTGGAACTTTGTCCCTTTTATGTGAGTTTATGATTTTTATAGTATACGTAGTTTACGTAGTTTCACAGAAATGGTGTTAGAATCATGTATGATATCCGTTAAAGGGCGTGATGTGCTTTACTGCAAAAATAGTTACGCCAGGTGCATAATGAAATCCAGACAACACACATGTCTGCAAACGATTAATATATTGTCTTTGTGTCTTTGTGTCTTTGTATTGGGAGCTTATTGTATTGTACTGGGATATATGCACTGATTTTATATTGTATTTATTTTTTAAAACAGGCTTTAAAAAGTTTTTTTTTTTATTCCAGATAAATTAATCAGTCGCATGATTTCTAAGCTGTGAACACAGAAGCTAGCAACGATGTATATGTACTAAATAACAAAAAAATAATCTTAACTAGTATTGTAATATTTGATTGCGTATATATTTACTTATTATTCTTACTTTTTATACATATACGTATTGTTGCTAGCCTCTGTGGTAAAACGCTGAAGGGGGGGGGGGGGGTCCATGTAGATAACGCAATTTCAGATGACGCCGTTGATAAGCTCAATACGCAGTAAGACTTTTTGTGAAATGCATACTGGAAGTCAGAATCATAACAATTAAGATATTGTTTTATGCATGAAAAATGCTTATGTTAATGAAATTAAAATAATTTGATACCGGTTATCTATAGGAAAAGACTTACACAGGCTTAGCCTGCTGTCTTATCCATTTGTTAATAATAATATTCAACATTTTGTATAGCGCCCTATCTAGCTAACATAAGCATCTTTAAAAAGCACTCTACAGTACAATGTACATAAATAAACAATTAATACAATTTTGAGGAATTCGCAGGATCTGCATTTATGCATGTACTGTTATATTTCGTCTGTAGTTCCTGTAATTATCTTTGTTTGTATTAACAATAAAATATTTTAAAACGAACACGCGGCATGTAGGTTAAGTCCGTAACTTATTAAATTATGGTAGCACTGTACTTCTGTGTAGGTTATAGTAAAACATTGTATCCCTTGGTAATAATGTACATAGTCACAGGGTACCAGGTACATGGCATCGCACTGAGTATCGATTCCCAAATTCTGGTCGGAAGGTACCTCAAATGCTGTACGAATTCACTTCAAATGCAGTCAGAATGCAGTTAGAATACACTGTAAATGCTGTTCGATATTTCCCCACTTTGAATGTACCTCAACAGTTTTGAGCATGAGCAAAACATTAGAACTGGCCACGGTGCAAGTTCGAATCCACGTTCAGGTTCATTTTTATTTTAAAAAAAATATATGGGGAAATTCATCGTTGAGGACAGTCTCATTGATTTGAAATGCAGGAAGACCGCATGACAAAGTAAGGAGCGCAATACACGTGTAAAACCGGCTTTTCGAAAATTATATATATATCATTTTTTCCATTCATAGGCGCAGGAAAAACATATTCTAGATGAAAGCAGGTAACGACATGACGCAGGCAGTAGTAATGAAAATTAAATACTTTCAAAACGACTTGGTAATATTTGTACGAACTTGCGTTACAAACAGCATATTATTTGTTTTGAATTCATAGAAATAACGCGAAATAAGCATTGTGTTTAGTCTTTATCGCGAAAACGCATGTATCAATAATCACGGCCTTGAATTTGGCTGTTTACAATAATCTATTCTTAGACACAGGATTCTACGGAGCCCTCGAAGGGACATGATATAACATTTACTAATCTGTGCGCACGAGTTACTAAACCGTGCGCAGCGATTACCAAACCGTGCGCACTGATTATTAACTTGTGCGCACAGATGGCATCTCGTGATAAATGTATGAGCATGTCCCTTCGGGTCCGATAGAGCTACCCGTATGAAAATACACGAGGACGCGTCATGACAATACACGGTGGCACGCGCGCACTAGCGGATCACAACTTTGGGGAAATAGGCATAGCAACCAGCCAAATCTCTTTTATGGCATAAAGCGGCCTTGCGAGGCACAAAGAGTCTTTGTGTCAACGCTGCATACATTAATAATATGAATTGAGAGGTGTCATTGTTATATATATATCTCAGGCAAGTAAGTCTAGAATAAAACATCGGCACTGTTGACTCACATTATTCTGCCAAATTTCATTCTTTCAGTCATGACTAAATGAAAACAAAGTGCTGGTTAACTTATCTGGACTTAACGTACAAACTAATAAAAAAAAAAAAAATATATATATACGGAATGGGATTATCTCCCCTTAAACCGTAATGCCTATATAAAAAAGAAACCAACAACAGGTAAACGTGGTTTTGTTTATGATATTTGTTTATGATTATAACCATATTTTTCAGGCACCGTGATGATCCATCGGTCCGACACTTTGATGTGCCGCTCAGTTTATTAGATACACGAACGATCTCTACCCATCCAGCAGTGCTGAGTCAGGAAATCTTCAATAGGGCCGTCCAGGCTATCCCCGATTCCGATTATGCTGCTTCCGTATCTAGAAATGTTTTGTCATCTTATGAAGCATACTTGTCCATCAACGACGATATCGATTTAAGAAGCATTGCAAGCAATACCTATTCCATACAAATACTTGCTGTAAATCAGGAAGTATATTCACTCGGAGATTTGATCAGGGTGCGAATCATGCTCTTTGATGGATATGGGAAACCCCTAACATATGGTGGAGATATTCTTAGAATTTGGCTAACAACTCCATCCAAGAACGCTAGCGCAAATGGCTACGTCATTGATCACGGGAACGGATCATATACAGGTCACGTGAGGGCATTATGGACAGGTAGTTGTGTCATAAAGACGTCAATAGCTGCAACTAAACAACACATTGCGGTTGTTCATAAATTTATTGAGAAACACGGATTACTGCATGACATGGCTGCCGGATTTAACAAAAATGACCTTCAAGAACGAACCCCGTGTAATGTGAAACCGAGCGTGTTTGGACTGACGGATGTATGTAATTTTACAAAAGAAAATTACGGTCTCAACTGGTATTGTGAAAAACCAAGAAATCCCAAACTGACTTGTCAAGATTGGACAACTGTGCAAGGACATCGCGAAGACCATTTAAATGAAGTTGAGAGAAAGATTGCCAGGTAAATGTATACGAATAAGCTTTTAAAATTTTTTGATTATCGTCGCCCAACGCTGAACTTTATAATTATTACAATAGATACAAGTGGCAGCATCGTTCGGTTCATGGTTATTGAACACTAGAATTAATAAATAGAAAATATATCCATTTGGTACACTTAAGGAAAAGGTTTCTATTTTGGACAGGTTATGAAGTGGCAAATCGCCGATGAGCACGTGTAAATCAAATAGATGGCGAATGCACGCGTGTCAATCTCATCACTTGGTCTCGTTCAACCAGACACTTGTTGTATGCGCAAGCTACGCCGAACAGAGAATTACAAGTGATCAAGCGTCTGGTTGAACGAGACTACTCATAACTTGGAAAATTCTTCTTCGTATTTACAATACTTTTCCTGTAAATAGTTCATAATTATTTTATTCACTAGTATGATATGCTGTCACAAACTTTATTTGCAAAAGTCATTAATGTGTGATCGGTTCAACAGATTGGAATTGGCATAAACCATATGTTACCCCGCCAATATCTGTTGTTGATGACGTCACACAATTCTGTCTCTTTCGCGGAATGTTTATATAGTTCCGCTCACATGCATTGTTGTCGACGTCATGGAAACTTGTTAATTAAGTTTTATATGAGCAGATTATGAGATGATTTCTCAGGTTTGCGATAACAATGGCTATTGAGTGAATTTCAGCGTAGACTGAATATTAACTTAAAATAATAATAAAATGATTAGGTAGGGGTATATCGACTATATTATAACAGTGTTGAAAGTACGACGGAACGAAAATTATGTCATACATACCTGACTACAAAAAGCATATACATACTTTCTAGATACTTGAATATATATCATTTCAACCAAAAATCTTGTAGAGAACCTTTTATTATAAGGAAATCCGTTGTTATAGGTTCTACAAGCACATGCTGTTGAGGGAAAGTCCGACAATCAAGACAAAGGGAGGTAAGTAAAGGTAGACAGACTACTCACAACTAGGATGAGAAAAGAATTTATCTCGTGCACATCCTCGATAATCTAGGGGTTACGCTTACTTACGCTCTCTACTCCCTACACCCCTGGAATATGTCATAGCAGTATTGTAGGTGCGGTCACGTTACGGTAAAAAATGACAGGCTTTGAAGTCGGGCGTCTCTCCGTTGTAATCTTCAAAGGACAGTTATCAGTCCACCGATGTGTCAGTATTTTTTTCCTGAGACCAGTCAAACAGCTTTCTTCGTGCCTTTAGTTTTGCTATGACATATTCAAGGGCATCCTCGATATCCAGGGGTTACGCTTACTTTCGCTCTCTACACCACTGGAATATGTCATGGCAAAATTGAAGGCACGAAGATAGCTGTTTGATTGGTCTCGGGTAAAAAAAAACTGACCAATCGCTAGGCTGATACCCGTGCTTTGAAGATTACAAAGGAGAGACGCCCGACTTCAAAGCCTGTCAATTTTTGCCGTTACGTGACCGCGAGATTCTTTTGATGTACATCAAAGGATCGAACAAGTCGTCTTGTCTCATCAACAAGGTGGCGTACATCGAGCTTTCAATTTTGCCATGACATATTCCAGGGGTGTAGAGAGCGAACGTGAGCGTAACCCCTGGAAATCGAGGATGATTCCAGGGGTGCAGTACAAACGAAAGTGAGCGTAACCCCTGGATATCGAGGATGGTGCGTGCATGACAGACCTGTCTAGGGGTGCAATACACTTCTTTCTCTTACGCTGCATAGGTTTATCCACGTATTTCCCGGTGTGAGCTTAATATAATCTTTCATAACCCTAGGGGTAAGACAGAAATATCTTAACCCAAGGAGTAAGATTCTTAAATATTTCGTCCGAGGCTTTGCCGCGTGCCAGCCATTTAAGAATATTTACATTCTGTATGCTTAGACCCATTGACAAAAATTACATTCATAAATGCATAACACAGGTGTTCATAGAATCTCAGCACGTGGGAACTAATAGTAACCTGATCACACTGCGTAGTAATACACTACAAAAACTACTCACTCGGAACGACCGACCTAGATGCTTAATTCTTTCATCTTAAAATATTATTGAACTGTGCTTTGTGAAATATCCACGTATTCACATGTCCTGTGCTACAAATAAACATTGAATATGGAACTACATTTTGTTGTGTTATTATTGTTGACGGTTGCTAAGATCTCTCACGATAGTGTCACATTTCCCCGCGAAAAACACTGTTCTCGCCACTGCGTTGCACCCGTGTATATGCAGGAACAAACCCTGTTTGTTTGTTTTATTCGTTGTTATATTGATCCACTGAAAGGATTCGTCAATGTAAATATAAGGAATGATATTTATTTTTTCAACATTTATGAGGTCATAACAACAATGGGTTTTTGGACATATTTTACATGAATCGCTAACGCGATTCATTCAATATGTCCATAAACCCATTGTTGTTATGACCTCATAAATGTTGAAAAAATAAAAATCATTCCTTACATATTACACTAAGGGTTGATATTTCATAATTTCCAGCAGTCGGTGATCTGCTATTGTTGATGTGACTCCAATGGTTGTTGATGCAACGTCATGCAATTGTCATGACGGATTTGTGTGTGAAACATGATGGGAGGAAAAAATAATCATCCTTACCCTGAGGGTGTGGTAGAGAAAACTCCAACCCTCGGGATGAAATTCTCGAACGTTTTACCCTCGGCACAGCTTCGGGTAAGACAATCAAAAATATCATCTCTCGGATTGGAGATTTCTCTGTCACACCCTCAAGGTAGGGGACGATTATATTAGGCTCTGCCAAGGTTTGAAACAGGGGGATTCTCCTCTCCATGACAATTCTATAACGTCAACAGTGCATCAAGATCACATCAACTTAACTTTATTTATATGATACACAATGGGTCAACAGGGTGAGAGAAAAATAATCATTCACCCATAGAGGTGTGATTGGGGCTCTTAACTATCATGGAAAGATTCTTAAGTTGCCAGACACTCTGCATACCCTCGTGTTTGGCAACTTAAGAATCTTCCCCCTCGGGTTGAGATTCCCCTATCTCACTCCCCAAAAGGGTGAGCTATTTTATTTATTTTTCCCTGACCAGGAGGGTTGATATCTTTTTCTAATGGGGAGAATAATAGAATCTCTCACCCCCTTTGGGACGAGATAGGGGAATATTTCCCCGAGGGTTGAGATTCCCCTATCTTACCCACAAGGGGGTGAATTATCCCTGTTCTCTTACCCTGTTCTCCCAATGTGTATCATAAACACAATGTAATACTAACGTTACATGCTAAATTCAGGGTTGACGTGACGTTGATGGATTGTTGACGTGACGTCATTGTGTTGTTGAAGTGACGTCATACCATTGTTGTAAATAGGGGAATCCCCCCGTCTCAACGCTAGGGTGAGAAAGAAAAGGAATTCTCTTACCCTGGACAGTTGTATCCGCACTTTTACCGGTATGAGATTTCCTTGTCTAACCCTAGGGTTGAGACGGGGGGATTTCCCTATTCATCACAATGGTTTGACGTCACTTCAACAATACAATGACGTCACGTCAACAATCCATCAACGTCACGTCAACAATCCATCAACGTCACGTAAACCCTGAATTTAGCATGTAACGTTAGTATTACATTGTGTTTATGATTTAGACAACCAAAAAGCATCACCCCTCGGGTTGGAGATTTCTCTGTAACACCCTCAAGGTAGGGGAAGATAATAGTAATCCATACCTCACATCAGGGATGGATTCTATTAGTCTCACCTTAGGTTAAGGCGTGGGATTCCCCAGTCAAAACAATTGTACGACGTAACGTCAACAATGCGTTGAGACTGTAACGTCAACTCCGATAGGGTGAACGTTTTCATACTTTTGAATTACATATTACGTGCGTGACGTCACCATCGTACAGCAGTGATGTGACGTCACGAAGTCATATCGATATATTGATGGTTATGATCATAATAGGTAGTATTCTGAGAGAAATACAGATGTGACATGATTTTCTCTGTGATTTGGAAAGCATTTTTCCTTAATTGTTCTTATTTCTCAATTCCTCAGATTGCAAAATTACGTGGGTTTTTTTAAATTGCAAGTTCACCATAAGGAATTAATATATAAATATATCTTTTTAAGTCAAATCATATCATATCATATATAGTCGGCATCAGATCAGTGCTATCGCAAGGCGGCAATTAACCAACATACCCTGCCTCCAGCAACCATACACGCATACAGTGAACATACCACACACGGAGGCCTATCCTTTAATGACCTAAGCTGTTAAAAGGGACGTTATTTAACCTTTTTAAACCATACTTATACAAATAAAACGTTCACCAATATCCTTCCCAATGTAAAATGTCGATTTTCCCTGAATTTGTCAGGTTGATTCATGTAAATCATGAGCTACCGCTGAGAGAGACAGTCCAGCGTACTACTACGATACTGATTATAATGATCTACTCCCGTTGAACTCAATTAGGCATTATTATACGTATATTGTTTTTTGTTTTTCAGATGGGACGTATGTTCCGTCAGTCGATCTACCATGTAGCAAGAGACCAAATAAGGAGACGTGGCTCGAGGAATCCCCTGTTGGGTTTTATTATAAAAATCAATGGCACAATCGAGGCTGCAAAAGTACGTTCATACCTTCCAAGATGTCGTATGAGAACTGCCTGCGTGATCAGTTCCTGTTTTTTATTGGTGATTCGAATATCCGCTCATGGTTCGATCAGATACAGCAAACGTTAAATATGGTCATAGCGGCAAATACAGAAGGACAGAAGAGAGGACCATGGTTCAGCTTGCGGAGAGCTGACCGAACCGACTTAAATCTAAGTCTGGTGTGGGCCGTTCACGAGTTGCCTTTCTATACCGGAGGTCATTCACCAAGGGAATATATCAAGTCCATGGCTTGGCACATAGACCGCATTCCGTATATGAAAAAGTTGACAATCGTAATACATAATATGATGCACTTAGCTAGAACCCCACCATCTGAATTTCGTGCGCACGTGCGGGATGTTAGATTTGCGATTGGTCGACTTTTTAAACGAGTACCAGAAGCAAGGTTGTTCATAAAAGGACCTCACTCTGCTACTTATGTAAACCTTTTTAAACCTTTGGATTTCATAAGAAAGGTCCAAGAACAAGTTTTCTTTGAAGAATTGATTGAATTCCATGATAAGATAACTTATTTGAATTTGTGGGATATGACAACATGTATAGAAAACGTCAACGTCCACCCTGGTCCATCGACCGTTAGGGATATGATCAGTTACTTTATGTCGTATTTGTGTGACAGATAATGGCGTCAGATTTATCATGGTGGCCGATTCTAAAGATAGAAGGGCAACGTGTTTGCAATGCTTACAGTCGTTAGTCCCGTTTGCAACTCCATATTATACTAGACAATAGCGTTACTTACAATTTAATACTATAGTTTTGTTGTCTAGTATACATTAACCATTTTCTCTAAGTTGACAGAGAAATCGATCCCAAGCAAGGCAAATTTGCTCATTCCCCATTTCAACTTCCGTCTGTTGTTACATCAGCTTTTTTTTATCTCCAAATTACGTTTGGTGTTTTTTTTCTCACTATTATCTTTTATTCCTGATACTTAAGCATCGTTTTCAAATATATGTAAAGCCTCTACGAACGGAGGTTTTGGGTCGTTAAAATAAAGGATCAGTCACCAGCAAACTGTGAGAAAATGTATTCTTTATTATTTATTTGTATACCTTTTATATATTTTACTATTTGTAACAATGATAGCTATAATGTTTCAAATATCATAAGAAATAAAAAAAACAATAGAAATATGTCAGAATGACATGAAAGTCACCCAATCATTCTGTATGATCATTTTCCGAAAAATCATTGACCAAGCTACAACGGATATATTTCCACCTGTCAATCAAAATGGTAAACAATTACCAGGTGTAAATACATACACGTACATACTGTTCAGGTAGCCATGCCAACACATGAAATTAATAAGAAAGCATGTCGCAAATATAACGTTAGCGTTGACTGACAACCTCGAATACGGGGAGATCTGTGCGCTGACACGGTTACCTGGCATGGTCAGAACAGGTAACGTTAATTGGAATATATCGATGTTGTTTTCACAACAATAAGTTTAAGAAAAGATTCAATCTTATATACGGACAAATCTTCTACTATTTTTTGTTATGAAATACACTTTTCCAAGTAGTTTTCTGATCGTCTGCAAATCCGACTGAATCGGTCATTGATATCGGCAGAATGTGTACGTTTAAAGGCAGTCATTCCGACGAGGACCGCCAACAGCCGAACAATTGTGATTTCAACAATTCTCTTTCGAAAAGAAAAGATCGGAATGTTTTTGGCTGTTTTGAACCCGTTGATATTTAATTTTCAAACACAAACTTTTATCATTATCGGTTCAATTCTCATGGATGTCACCTTGTAAATTCCAGCCGGTTAATAGTATCATGCGAAGTTGACTCTTTGCGGTACACAAACTTGCTAACTTCGCCACTTTACCCATGTCGTTTTGCACATTACTACGGTCAAGATTGAAGAGTTCAGCATGATTTTACCCAAGAACGACATTTTAACCACAGAGTGATGAATGCGATGCAATTCTTCGTTATGTTTCCCGATACGTGGTACAGTATTTATCAATTCACAACGTAACGTCCTGAAAAGTTGAGCCTACTTTACTCGAGTTTATTTATCCGATTCTATAGTATTATATGACTTAAACTACGCGCAACAATCTACTGGCTGTCGCGCGCCTTTTTCTCTCTCCATTTCGTCGTATTGAATGTGTTTGGTCACAGTGGGAATCAGACTGGATGGGGGAGCGGGGGTGTTAGTCAGCCATCCCGGCGACAGTTCCAGTTGAAAATTATCTGAAGTTCCAGTGTTTGATAAGCAGGTAACTTTGATGGTTAGTAGTTCCAAGTTTAAAGTACATGTACTTGCTCTTGAATGTATATTAAATAATCGTGTTAGCATCTATAATTGCTCTATTTCAAATTTCACCTTTTACATTTCATTATTTTCCATGTCCAAATATCTGACCAACACCTCCTTCAGTACTTACAGTTCTTAGATTATATTTATGATATTTGATAAAAGCCATTCTTTATGACAAAGAACCAAAACGTTTTAAAAGTCGTTAAAAAAATAAGTTGTTCATGAATACCACGTTGTCCATTGCAGTTAATTATCATATATTTACATTTGCATGGCATTGTCACTATATAGCCTCTTTGAAAGCTGTGTCGTTGATGAGTGCGGCAAACGGCAGCTGTGAATGGTATAGCACCTAATCGAAAGCCGCAGAGTTGCGTATTTTTTAGGTGGTAGGTAAATCTTGTACCCCGTTCCCGGACCCGGACTGAAACCCCGTACCGTGAATATAAAGATATTTTAATATCTCAGTAACGAGATGGTTTATAATTTTTATAAAAATATAGAATAATTTCAAACATTATTTTCTAAATGTGACAATTACAAAAATGTTTATTTATTATCTAATAATTTAGAAATCGACGATAATGTGTTTTTCAAGGGGGTAAAACTTGTACGCCGCAGTCAACCGTGAAAATCACGGTTTCTCACATATAAGTAGAAATTTAGGAAAAATTAACATGTTATTTTCAGAAATATAGAAGAAAATACCTTACTGTTTATAATTATGTAAGTTTCGTTGAAATATAACAACATATTTCACATGAAATTCTGACTTTGTTGTGATCGCGGGTGTTTTGTTTCCTCCCGTACCCGTACTAAGGGGACGTAACTCTGTCAAGCTGTCGTTATCAAGTAGAACTCTTAGCCATTCTATTAGAATGTTACCAGGCTCTGCGACGCGGACGCAGTTCTACATAAGAGCCCATATTTTTTTAAACTATATATATATAAGATAAATAATAGTTCACAAAATAAAAATTCATGATCATCATTATGATTGGTTATTGGGTATCATTAGAAAAAATGGGTATTTTTATAATAACTTATATTTGAAGAAATGGTTTTATGATTGAAATAATTGTGTTCTTTTTAATACAAATTACAAAATACAAAAAAAGGATTAAGTTGAATAGAAAATTATAAATATATTTATTAAAATAAAAATTAGCTGTAGTCATGTTTTATGTTTAAATCACAATGCTGGCTAACCTAACTAACTAAACTGCATTATTCTAACCTGACCTATATACTTAATTCTGACTTGTATTGCTGTTTTATGAACACTTACCACACTTCATAATAAAACTATCCCTAGAAAAATGTAAATCTGACAGATCACTTACACATCTATTATGAAACCATCTGTCACAGCCAGCATCACAAGAAACCATATCATCAAATACATTTGAAATGTGACACCCATCTGCTTCGCAATCAATAAAAATA